GAAATATCAATTATTGTTATTTTTCTTTAGTATAAAAAAATAGCTTTGTATCTGTAGGGTAATATAGGTGTTACCACTTTTGTAAAAAATATTTCTTATCTGTTCAAATTGTCCTAGAGTTAAATAAATAAATAGATAAATGAATAAATAAATAAATAAATGTGTTTGTGTATTCCAGAGAAGCAGTGACTAATTCAGAGATACTTGAGGACAACTTAACCGGTTACAAAGTCATATTAACATACCCTGCTTAGAAACTGTTAAATGATTTTCTCAAAATTGCATGTGATCATTCTTCATGTTTTTATTTGATAAAACTCTTATAAACTTTTGTGAACATACAGGAGAGGCAATGTGCATCATATTTATCAAAAACATGTTTCTCTTCTTTAGATTTGAAAGTAAGAAGGCCTAGGCTTCTTAATTAACTGTTGATGAAAAGTGTGACCCATACGTCTGTTTTCTTCCATTTGTAAACTGGGGCTAAGATTCATTGGACTGTTCATTTCCATATTACAGACTGGCATGGAGGACAAAAATGAAAGAGCAAATGTGGAAGTATTTATGAGCATTACTTGGCCATTTCACAAGGCCCTTTGAGATAAAAAAAAAAAAAAAAAATCTAAATTCACTGCCATCAAGTCAATTGTGGCTCATAGTGACCCCTCCTTGGGTTTTCAAGGTAGTATGTCTATAGAAATAGATTGCCCAGTCTTCCTTCCAAGGAGTGGCTGGTGGGTTTGAACCCCCGGCCTTCTGGTTAGCAGTCAGATACCTTAGGGACTATACCACCAGAGCTCCCTTGAGAAAGAAAATTCAATGGTGAAAAAGGCTGTCCATTCCACTTTGGACAGCTTTAATGTTTTCTTACATTCATCACCTATGCCTTTCTCTCTTAGTTCCTATCCCCTGTGTTATGGTACAAGATTCTTTCACATGACAGTTCTTTAAATATGTGCAGATAGCTATGCTTCGTGAGATCTTTAAAGTTCAAGTGTTTTAAGAAAGCCATAACCCACAAATCCTGGCATCAAAGTTGGGTCTTTACTTTGCAGTGAAGCAACTGGTCTCTTGTTTAATTTAAATACGTATATTGATTAACATTAACAAAAATACTTTAAACATGTAAAATCAATTAAATTAATAGTATAGGCTCTAAGAACATTAACTAATAAATTTTACAGTAAGCAATTAAATCTGATTAACAGAATGAGAAGACAAGTGCATTGGAATCAGAAAGATATAGATTTAATTCAAGGCTGTGTGGCCTTGGCGAGTTATTTACCTTCATAAGTCTTATTCTTTCACCCCAGAAATAGAAACAATAGAATCTAACTCTCAGGGACCGATAAGGATGTAAGAAAAGGACTTAACACAAATACGGTGAAACTGCTGTGGATAAAAGAATAAACATCAATATATATCAACATGGAGAAATGATCAAAAGCATAAATTGGAAGGAAAACAGTGGGAAACAGAATGAGAGGGATTACACAATAACATTTAGGTAAATACACTCATGTGGTATTCACATGAAACAATATCATCATTGTTCATGGCAGGTGGCTCAAAAGACTTGCACTAACAGTGTAAGTGCCCTTGGATGGTGGAAACTGGGAATTTTAGATGGGAAATGAAAAGGATTAAAAGAAAGAAGGTTGGACATGGATCAGCTATAGTGACTGCTCTCATTTTATGTACCTGAAATCCAAGACCAAGAGGAAAGAGTAAGGGAAAAAAAATAAAATAAAATAAACTTAGCAGAGCCTGACACACAGCAGAGACTTAATACAGGTGGCTATTTTTATTGCTAGGATTAAGTACTGCTCAGCAGGACTTTATTTGCCTCAATTTGACTAGTATGACTGAGTTTACCAGTAGATACAGGGATAGGAGTTGTGTCAGTAGAGTCAAAAGACCAGAAAGAAACTATGAGAAGTTGAGAAGGGAAACAATAAATGTTCATGATAGAAAATAATTGATACATAATAATAACAGCTATTATTTATTGACTGCTTACTATGGTGTAGGCAACATTCTGCCAACCTATATTTACTATTGAGTGCCTATTATATGTCGGTAGGAGCTTTGGTACTGTAGTGCCTAAGGCACTTGACTGCTAACCAGAAGGCTGGTGGTTCAAACCCACCAGCCACTCCTCGGAAGGAAGGCTGCACAATCTGCTTCTGTAGTGATACCACCTGGGAAACCCAAGGAGGGGTCGCTATGAGTCAGGTCTGACTCAACGGCACAAAACAACAACAACATTATATGTCAGATACTGTCTAGGCATTGGGAATACAGCAGGAAAGCAACACAAAAACAACAAACCCTACTCTTACAGAGCTTATAGTCTAGTGAGGGGCCACAGGCAATATTAAGTAAAATACACAGTATGTTAGATGATAAGTGCTATGAAGAAAACAACAACAAAGCAGGAAAAGGCGATACAAAGTGGTGGTGATTGCAATTTTAAATAAGGAGGTCGAGGAAGGCTTCACTGTGGGGCATTGACCCAGATCCTTTTTATGCTTTTAATCTTTTCAACATCCATGAAGAAGTTACTTTTATTAACCATGATTGCTGTTTTTCAGATGAACAGCCTGTAGCCTAGGGTCCTTTGGTGTCTAAGATCTGATAACAAAAAAATGAAAGTGGGTGGTATTTTTACTTTAAAGAACAGAAATTTGTTTTCTCACAGTTCTGGAGGGTAAGTCCCAATCAGTCTTGGCCATGTTGATTGGTACTGTGGGCCTCTGTCTGCTGGTTTCTGGCGTCTGTCAGCGATCCTTGGCATTCTTTTGTGAACAGGCAGGTCTTCACATGATGCCTGTCTGTGTGTGGCTGTGTCTATTCTGCTCATTTCATATGACACCACTTAGTAATTAGATTTAGGACCCATCCTACTCTGCTAGACTTCATTAACTTAACAAAAGAAAATCCCTATTTCCAAACAGGGCCATGTTTATAGGTCTAGGAGTTATACTTCTACTTTTCTTTTTGGAGGACAAAATTCTATCCCTTAAGGTAGCTGTCAAGTGACAGACAGGTAGGGTTTGGGCCACCTGGCTCTTGAGCTGTCTTATTACATCTAGATCATGTAGGGAGCTAGAAGGGGTCAGGAAAACAGGGAGAGAACAGGAGTGTAGTCTGAAAAATAATAGAATCAATATAATGATGGTATCCATTTTCGATTTTGAAAAAGTACTATAAACATCTTTTGTTTAGGAAAAAAAAAGAAAAGTTCAGAAGGTAAAACTGGGTAAAATCTAGCCTGGTAGGTGTATCCAGAAGTTACAAAGGATATATGTCAGTTTTTTTTTTTTTTTTTTTTTAGCCCCTCTGCCCCCTTAAAAAATCCGAATTTAGTTCAACCTTTCTAATTTATCGCTACAGGACCAGGAACCTCAAGAGTGTAAGCGACTTGCCTAAAGTTATTAAAGCTTGTTTGTTACAGAACCAGGATGGAAAACTAAGCTTGAAAAAAAACAGCCACTCCAACCATAACAGCTGGGCTGCGCAACCTGAGCTTCTATGCTTTAGGCTGCAGGGAAGGCTCTCACCAAGCTCTTTTGATTGTATGGCTTCTGTTTTAAAATGCAAAGAAGCCATGGTTAAGTCAAGTCTCAGATACGTGAAAATGAATGACTGAATCAGGGGAGACCCATTTGCAGAAGGGAAGAGGGGAATATGATAAAGAGAAGTGGGAGGAGGCACAAACGAAGAAACTGAGAGGAGGCATCTGCTAAGAATAGACAAGGTGAACTTCAATACGGCTATTTCCAACCCAAGAAGGATGAGAGGAGGGGCCATGGTAAGAGACTAAAAGGGTTCCTCCATCTCAAGTTTAATTATAGCCCTATAGGTAGGAGCTCTGGTAGCATAGTGCCTAAGGCACTTGACTACTAACCAGAAGGCTGGAGGTTCAAACCCACCAGCCACTCATCGGAAGGAAGGCTGGGTTATCCTACTTCTGTAGTGATACTGCCTCGGAAACCCAAGGAGGGGGCACATAACAACAACATAGGACAGGTATGAAAAGCGTTGTTTTTATATATGGGGAAACGGAAGCTCAAAAAGGCTAGTTACTCAAGGTCACAAGGCTGGCAGGAGGGTTTTTATTTATTCGTTCATTCCATCATTTCTTCCTTCCAATCTCCTTTTATTTGCACACGGTGAAATACTGAGGGCTTTTTTTTTTTTTTTAAACCTGTTTCTAAAATAGTTTTCAAGTATCCAATGATCCAGTGAGTATGTGGTCACCATGACAACACAGAGTCGAATTTCACAGCTCAGCCAGGCACCCTTCCTTTGTGGAATTTAGCACAATCGTAATTTTACATTTGTTTGTGTGATTATTTGCTTAACATCTGTCCTTCCACTAGACTGTAAGTTTCATAATGGCAAGGGCCAACCTGCTTTTGCTCACAGGTGTGTCCCCAGAGCCAAGCACAATGCCTGGCACTCAGGCTGTCCATAAATATTTGCTAAGTAAATGTTTTGTGACTCCCCTCAGCTCTCTTCTCAAAGTTCCGTGGACAGTAACCTTTAAGTCATAATTATGTTAATAGATACTGTATAACGAGTCGGGCCGGTATTTACAGGTAGCACACAGGTAAATGAATACACACATACACACACGTAAACGACGGCACAAACAGCCCCGGGCAAGCGCTCTTAGGAAGAAACGCACGCCGTCGGAGCAAGCCAACCCAGCGCGAGTAAACACCGCTGAGCTGGTTCGCCCGCCCGCGCAGCGTGGGAGGGAACCGAGGAGAGCTCGCTGCGGGAGTCCCCTGCCCACCCGCACTCCCCGCGGCGTCCCAGGGCCAGGAGGCGGTGACTGGTGGGCGGTGAGCTGAGTCGGTGATTGGCCCACAGCGGCCGGCGCGGGGCGGGGCTGGAGGCAGGAGGCGGGCGCTCCTCTAAGGGGGTGTGATCGGTGGTTGGTGCAGTAGTTTTAGTATAAACAAGGAACCCGGCTAGTTAGGCGAATTTTTTTTTTTTTTGCCTTCTTTCCGCGCGCTTTCGTTCACTGTCCTTTGATCGCATTCGTGGGCGCGCGGCAAACAACCGGGAGGCCGAGGACCCAGGTCCAGTTGCCGGTAGGTTGCTCCTTGGCTGGGCTATTCTTCCCTGAGGGGCCGGAGTCCGGCGGCAGGCGCGGGACATTGATGGGGGCTAGCGGCCGGGGAAGCGCGTTTTACTGCGGCTGAGCTGCGCTGGGAACGACCGGGCTCTCACGCTGTGCCTGGCTGCCGGGTGCGTCCGGAGGCGGCGGGAGAGCCCTGAGTGAGCTAGTGCTCGCGCTCTCGCTCTCGCTGGCGCATAGCGCCCTTCAAAAACTCAGGATCGGAGGAGCCCGACTGCCGCCAGCTCCTGGAGCTGCCACAGGGCTGTCCCGGCCCCAGCAGGTGCGGCGCCGACCCCGGACAGGAGCAGGCTTTGCCTTTGCCTTTGCCTTCCTTCCTTCTCCCAGATCCTGCTGCCAGGCTTCTGTTTGGCAATTTGGGTGCAATTTCTGAGGATTTGCCCGAGTTCTAATTGGGCCCCTCCTTCACTATTTATTTTTTTTTAAATCCCCCTGTGCACTGCTAGGTTATTGCCTTGTACTTCTTAGCTTGTGTGTGTGTGTGTGTGTGTGTGTGTGTTGGGGGATTCTTTATTTTTGGTGTCGGTGCCATATAATCTAAAGAAGAGCCAAAGAAACAGAAGTCATAGATTCACCACTGACGAGGTAATTAATGTTCATTCATCCCTCCGGTTGGTAAACACCGAGTCGCCCTGCTTTTGTCTGAGCTCAGGTGAGCCACCTCTGGTCACCTGGCCAGGAGATAATAACGTGAGCTGGTTGTACCTGGAAGCCCGCCAGCAGCCAACGTGACGGAGGCTGCTGTTTCTAGGGGAGGGTTAGGAGTGAATTCAGTGCTGTTCCAGAGAAAAGGGGAGAAACAGAGGCTCTGGGGCGTGCGCGTGGGGATGTTTGTGCGTGTTGTGTGTGTGTTTGTGTTTATGAGTATGGGCCAGTTGGGCATTGCCTCCCATCTTGGCCCAACCTTTCATGCTTAGTTAGACGAAAGCAATGCAGCTAAGTGCTCTAACAGTGCGGATGGTGGCACTTGTGTAGTAAATATTAGCACGAGGAGATGGTCTGGGGAGCGACTTACTCTTCTGAATATACATGTGAACAGCTTCACAGATGAATTCGGTGGATGTAGTGTGTTTAGATGGATATGTGCACAAGGTTTATGTGTGTGTGTTTGGGCCATATGTGTCTCCAAGGAACCCTTCCTCAGCAGCTCCATGTGACCATGGTCAGGAACTGCTGGTGTGTGTAGATCTATATTTAGCACCGGACAGTCTATAAGTTCCTAGTGGCTCCGGGTGGGTCTCTGAACTGGGTGCATAAAGCGGAAGAGTCCAGAGATAGGGATTTTGCACTCTTGGATGATGTCTGGTACAGTCAGACTCAGATGATGTGAGTAATTAGTCTTCCCTCCTGAGAACAGTAGCTAGAACATGACATGTGATGGCTGTATCTTAATTTAAGCTATAGTTGGACCATGGTGATGAGCTTATGCTAAAAAACTAGGAGGTTTACAGTGTGTATAATTGGTTTTGAGAGGAAAATTACTGGCCAAATGAGGTTTACAGCAAATGAGTAACTTTTCTTGAAAAACAAACAGACAAAACCCCATAAATCTTTGGCTGCTGAGGTTTTCATTACAGGAAGAAAAAAAGAAAAAGAATGACAGCTTATAAGATCCTTCAATTAATACATAATTTAATTTTCTTGGTGGAGAGGTAGTTGAGCAAGTAAGGACCCAGAACACTTTGGGCAGAAGTCAAGGTTCTCAGACAGTGCTGTATTATGCTTTTCTAATCAATGATACTAGCAAAGATGAGGATAGTCACTGACTAGCAAGTTTCTTGTTGGCATTCTTCCACCCCTAGTGGGTCAGTCCTTTGTTTTTTCAGAGGTGGCAACATTTCTGATTCCTAAGCGTACTGTACTTTCCAGTTTTCTAATGGAGTGTTAAATTCTTAGAATTTATTTCTCCTGTAATGCATTTTCATTCTTGCTGCATTTTTTGCGCTTCATTAGACATTTTATCTGATACCACCACACCTGGCACCCAAGGACCATGCTATCTTAGGGAGTAGAGAATCACCAGAAAGAATTTACATTTATTCTTCTTTTTTCCTCTAGCTTATCATTTAATCTAATATATTCCTAGGTACATATTACTAAATATTTCTCAATATTGTTTTTTTATTATAATAATACTTATTTGGGAGCTCTGGTAACATAATGGCTAAGGCACTTGACTGCTAACGAGAAGGCTGGTGGTTCAAACCCACCAGCTACTCCTCAGAAAGAAGATGGGGCAATCTACTTCCGTAGTGATACTGCCTCGGAAACCCGAGGAGGGATCGCTATGAGTAGGGTCCGACTTAATGGCACATAGCAATAACAAATACTTATTTATTATATTATTGCTAAACTTTCATTTTTACCGTGTAAAATAAACTGCTGACCAAACAAAACCAATTAAATCACATATGTTTGAGTAAGGAGAAAAATTTGAAGGAAAGATGCTGGGAAGTACCCACAGCAGATAAGGTGGTGCAGTATGGCATAGGAAGCCCATGGGCTCATTATGTCAATCTGGAAAGGCTTCCTGGGAGAACTGGGCTTTGGAGAAACATTTGAATGGCTTTGAAAAGGAAAAGGGGGGAAAGAAGATATTCTCCTTTGCTTGGGAGAAGAATCTAGAATCTCTGAAGCTGGGATTGATAATCTTGACTTTGATACCATAAATAATAAATAGAAAGCCATTGTAACATTTTGTGAGGTCTTAGAGAGGCTAATGGTACTGCTGAAAATGCTGCTTAAGATTTTATGGGATTTTTATTGTAAGTGTTGATCCCCACCCTCTTCAGTTTTCCAGCACTGTAGCTGCCCTTTGTTTGCTTTTCTAATTAAATCTAAAAAAAATTTATACCTGTGCAACTCTTGATTATCCTAAAATGATAGATGCTGTAGCCTAGTGCTGGGGGCAGAATAAGGAGGGTTGGGTTCCAGAGGGACATAAGCCTTAATAAGTCAACTTATCCTCTCTTTGCACCTGCAATATATGTAACATGGGCATGGGGTTGAATGAAATGATTCACAAGTCCGTTTTAGATCAATATTGTATGCTTATCTCATTTGCCCTGCCCTGTCCTGGGTGGGATAATGAAGGCTGAAGTATTTGTGCAGTTCCACTTTCTAGATGCATGGAAATGAAGAAAAGAGAATGAAGTTTCTTTTTATCGAAGAAACTTATGTAGAAGTTTTGTATTTTCTTGAACTTCTTTTGACTTTTGTTTTTCCCTAAAAAATATTTTAAAAAACAGTAATTAGCAAGATGACTGAGTCAAATTATTTTGTCCCTAATTCATTGTGACTATTTATATTAATTATCACCACCACTCATCTGTCAGTTTGTTTTAAATGACTTTCCAGGCCTAGTTAGAGTTACAGTGAATGAAGTTCATGTACTGAAATGTCGCTTTGTGTTTTAATACATTGCTAACAAAATTTTCCAAGACAAAAGATGACTAACTTTAACTATGTTTTTCTTTCAGGGAAACCAAAAAAATAGCAACTTTGATTCAGAATCTCCTTTTACCAATTTAGATATTAGTAAGGAATTTTTTAGAGTTAGCATCTTGGACCAACCAAAGCAAAGTGCAGCTTCACTTTTTGTATGGAAGCCTGTAGCTCAAATCAGGAAATAATGGGACCATTTCATTCTTGTTTTAGAGAGAAAGAATATCAGTAATTCCTCAAAATTACTCTGAGTTTTCTCCATGGCTATGAAATCTAGTAAGCATTTGGGGCTTAGTTCCAAAGAATGCACTTGGAGTAGCTCATTTTTGTTCACATGCCAAAGAAGTGAGTTGATTCACAGTTGTCTGTACTTTATTGTTTGCACATTCAATACTCTATGTGTTTTTTCAAGGGGAGTTTGCAGAGGTGAAGCATTTCCACAGTTTCTAGAGATACTTTTAGAAATCTCTGCTTTTAGGACTTCCTCTGGAGAAGGAAGGACATGAGAAGATAATGTAGACATTTTCAGGTTTAGAATAAGCCAGGTTTAAAGTAGTGTCAGACACTTGACTTTTACCTTTATGGATGTAAATTCAGGTACTCCCAATGAGAATGCAGGTACTCCTTGTATTCTGAGATCTAGCAGTGCCAAAAGAAGGCTAAAAGTACTTGTGATGCCAACTGGAGTAAAATGAAATATGTAAACCCTTTCTAATTCAGATCTCTGGAACCTGACGTGAAAAAAAGGAAGAATCGTGTCTTTGAACATGCATATCTCCAAAGTGCAAAGTTCTTTTGGAATCTAGGAAAACTGGGAACCAGTAATTCCAGGATATTAAATCAAACCTCTCCCCACAAAACAAATACGCTTTCAAAGTTCAACTGTGATAAGGAGGCCTTCATCTAGTTTCTCTCTCTGTTTTTGATTGGGTACATACATGTACAGTATTTCACTGGAAGCTAAAATGTAGTGATTAGCATAAAGGTATTACATTTATTGAGTATTTCACTGAAGCACTGTGATGAAATAAGAATTGGAAAAAAGAAAACAATTTTTTTTTCTCTCTGCCTCTTGCCTTTTTTCTCTCATTTTCTTGAATTTAAAGGAAGTGCTGACTTGACGTTCTGGTGGAGATTTACAAAGCACCTATACCAGACATTGTGTGATGGCTTTTGGCTTAGTTCCCATACCCTTCTTTTCCTTAACCTGTTTTCCAATTAGAAATGTCACCTGAAACTACCTTATCCTGGTGCACCTGCTTCATCATAAATAACACTGTGCAAAAGCAGTCGCTAATTCAAACATAGTCTGCTGTTTAGAAAAAGGCAGCTTTTCATCTAGTGCTTTGGTTGGTTTGAAACCATTAGGCATGCCTTTCAAATCCACTCATCCCTTAAATCACCCGAGCTTGCTTCCTTGCGGCTGGATCAATGTCAGACTGAACTTTTGCAGAGTCCTTGGAAGAACATGATATATCTTTGTGACTAAATTAGCTGCCTATCAAAGAT